ATTCTATAAAATCTCTACCATTTCAACAACTGTGCTCACAACATGAACACCTTCAGCTAACAAAGACAATCTTCATACTAGATTAGGGGGTAGAGAAAATAATGAGCCACGGATGATAGCTGTAAGTTATAATTCTCTTCTTTGAGCAGAGGGAAAGAATGAATTAATTCTTACAGGAAAAGAAGTGTAATTTTTTTTTCTTTTTCAGTTTATTCTATACTTCACAGTCTTCCTTTTTTGAGGACTGTTATTCTTCAATGTCAGCATCCATCTGAAAATGAGTATTTTTAAACCTTTGTGCTTATGAGAATTTTTTTTTTCAGTCTAAGAGTTAATGACTGAATACTGACATAATATGACAAAAGCTGTGCTGGATTTTAAGAGGTCATTAAAGGAAAAAGGTCTCACTTTCTCACTTTCTACCCCATCAGTATTTTTATTCCCAAATATTTCCTCTTAGATATATACACAGCAGATAAAACTAAAGAGTTTTTTACTGAAACATAAATAGCTAGTTCAGCTGTTTGAATAAATAATAGTTTAGAGAATCAAATAATCATGAGAATGTCATGGAAAATGAAGGCTCCTAAGTCTGAAACTGAATTAGCTTCTGGTTTAGCAGTTCTATCCCCCCACAGCTCAGAAATGATATTGTGTATGTTCATGCAGATAAATTTGGATATATAATTAGATGTTTCGTCTCTTCATTTACACATAGTGGGGCTTTCCTACTGGTTACTGAAACAAACATTTATGTCTGAATTTGAAGAAACAAAATCGAAATGATCTCACAGAGGCTGTAGAATCTCCATCCTTGGAGATACTCAGACCTTGACTGGACATGGCTTTCACCAGCCTGCTCTGAGTGATCCACATTTTACAGTGCTGCATTAGCCTGGCACCACCCAGTCAGAACACACGTTATTTCCCTTGGGAAAGTTAGGGTAGTGGCTCAACTGGGGGAAATGAAATGTCAGTGTAAGAGACAGATACTTTGATCCTGAGCTTATAACGCCCTTCCTTCACATCCAGCTCCAGGCACTGCCAGCACCCACTGAATGAACCCCACAGCTCTGTAGGCTCTGGAGTAGCAGCCTCCCTTTGCTCGATGATCCATTTACAGGATGTGTCAAGGACAGTCTTTGGAGGAGACAATAAGGTTCCTGACACTCAGCTGGGATTCATCCTGCCCAAACTGGGATATTTACAGTGTGGATATCTACAGTTGAGGTAGTCTCTCCAAAATCCCTTCCCAGTTAACAAAAAATGCAAATTTCCGGGTCCCCACCCAAAGAGAGCTGAGACAAACTGGATGAGACAAACCTGGAGTCAGGTAAAAGCTACCCCAGCCCAAATCCTTGTGTTATGAAACACTACAGGTACCTGCCTCTAAAACAGTGTGAAATAGTACTGGTACCTGCCTTTAAAAATAAGAAGTATCCTAAGCAAGTGAAATGAAAATAAAGTGAAGAATTAATTAACTAAATAGAGGTGATTAAAGTAAATAAAGGCAACAATTATCATATCAAAATAAAAGACAAGAAAGATGATTAAATGAGTCTTCAAAAGACCCATGAGAAACTCATGAAAGACATAATATGCCTTTACCTGGTTTTTAGTCTTTCATGATTTCATTTTAATTTTTATTCACTACCATCTGATAATTGCAAGAAACAGTTACTTTAACCATAGGCAATTTAAACCATTTAAATTTTTTTTCCAGGGCCAAGAGACAAAAGAACCTATTTATTGCCTGAGGGGATTTTTACTAAAATGAAAGCTTAATCTTTCATGTTTTTTTAAGCAAAGGCTTTTAAAAAATCATTTCTAACAATGCTGTAGGGAGACACTTCCATGGGTATGCAAAATTGAAATTATAAATTTACAATTATAAAAAAATTAATAGTTTGGGGGATTGTATTGTCTCTGTTCTTTCTGAATGAATATTCTTTCAAGCTTAAGAGAAAGTATTTAGCACATGGAGGAGAACGAGTGTCCTTAGACTCTCTTGTGGTCAAAGCTATTTAGTCAGAATGTATGGCAGAGAGAGCACTGGAGTTTAATTTGTTTGGAAATCCTCAAATATCAGATGTCCTGATGGCTCCTCACTTCCTGGCCTGTTTTTCTGTGTTGCCAATGTACTGAAGTTGGCCTGACCACTATCTCCTCTGTACTAGTGTGGTGTATTGATGGTTGCTAAATCTTATCTACGTAAAATAAAGCTTCAAGACAAATTTTAACTGAAATAGTCATCTTTTGGGGCTCTTACAACACGTTTACAAAGGACAGAAGAAGAGCTCTTGGTCAAAGATTGATTCAGGGGAGATCTTCAGGGGAGATGTATCTGGCTAGAAACATGGATTATGTGTCAGCCATGGTTCAAGGCACACTGCAAGTACACACTTATGCCCATCTCCAGTCTGTGAACTATCTTACCTTCAACAACATCAAGAGAAGGATTAAATTTAAGCATCTACCTTTGCACTGCCCCAAATGTGGGCTGTTTTCTCAACTAAGAAATATTAATTTAATGCATTATCTGGAGAGATGCAAACATTTCTTCCTGGGCTTAGTGCAGGCTTTGAAATCAGACAAAATAATTTATACTCATGAAACACAACAAACTGAAGTGTTCTATTAAAGGAAAACTAGACCAAAAAAATACCCTTAAGGCCTCCAAACATCCACACACTGAAAGGCAGATTTAAATGTTTTCTGCCAACATATTTCAAGTTTTAGTGGAAATGCTTTGAGCTACTATGAAAAGCTTTATCCAACTAAATTCATTTTCTACGGAGGAGAGAAGAATCATTGAAGATATTATTCAGATTTACAAAATATGTAATAGGGTGGAGAATGTGGAACCAGATAAGGAAGGTTAAACTAAGAACATTTTAACAAGGCTTGATTTTAGGTTGGTTGTGCAACATAAATAGGTTAGTGGGCCTATTAGAGATTTTTCAAGTTGTTTGATATTAGAAACACCTGTGTACAGGTACCATCTATAAGACTTTCAAAGGCAACTGGTATTCTGAAGACACTATTTGAAAGGCTAAATGTCCAGAATTTTTTGAAAACAACACAAGTTCAATGTGCTAGCCAAAATCATTAACCTCTTTGGAAAAACCCTTGGTATCTGCTCTACAGTACCACCCTGAGCAATAGGAAGCTCTGGCTACCCCAAAGATACATCTGCCCAGCCCAGTGGAAGCACCTGTCTATCATGGGCCTCTGCAGACCTGGACATCAGATAAAACAACCTCCCAGGTACTCAAGGAGCCTCCAGATGAGGGCAAAAGGGAAACAGCAAGTCAGACAGGCTGGGTAAGAAGAGAGGGAAAGAGAGAAATGTGGGCCTTATGGTTGAATCCAAGTTCTGTGTGTACATGGCAAAACAAAGTGCACAATGGGAACATTCTGGTGCCACTGTGCTGCAGAGCAGCAAAGAAAAAGAGAGTTAATTTCCAGCCCCTCTGCCCCACAGTGAAGTGCACTGAGTTGCCCTGGGAATTCTTGTCAGTATGGGTCAAGATATGCTGTGTGTGTGCTTGGGAGGACAAGGCTGCTCAGACATTTATCAACTAAACTGCAGAGATATGACAGAGCATGCATGAAATGCAACATTTCTGCTTCTATAAATGGGTGGCATTTAGACAGGTGTAACATGGAAACACTGACACTGGGAATGGTCTTTTGCAACGTGCTAAGTCTCAGCTCCAGGACAGAGGGAAGAGATTGCTCAGGTTTAAAAAAAAACCATATCAGCAAGACAAAATTATTTTCACCCAGCCTGCTTCTCAGAGATGTTGCTAACAAATATTATTTTTAGGTCAAGATGAGGCTCATGCCAGAAACAGGAAAATTCTGCACAAATGTAGTATTAGCCAAGCTTATTTCCATTTAACCTCTGTCCCAAACAAACAATAAAACTGTAATATAATGGGAGCCATGGCCAGCACTAACACCCAGCACCACACTCAGTCCCAGTTCTATTGTGCAGTGAAGACTGTTTTCCTTACTGATGAGCTCTAACAGTCTGCCATGAATTACTTTTTCATGGGGGATAAATACACACTTAAACAAGATTAAATACAAATGTTCTTTAGTGGTGTCTAAAATAATATGAATGTTTTTTAGAACAGCAATAAACACACTTCATGATGCAAATAATTACACCCTGCAGCCTTTATGTAACCATAAGTGGCCGAATTCTCTACTCAGCTACATCACTGTAAACCTAGAGTAACTACACTGAAGCAACATCTCTCTCTGTGGAGTCTGGAGATTCTGAAGTGTTACCTAAGTCTGAATTAGCCCAAGTTTCTCTCTATGGTTTTGGAGACATGGGACACACATGGCTGGAACTCCATATGATGGTCATGAAGGCATTTCCACCTCTTATTCCTCTCTTTTGCCCCCATAAATCTTCTACTCTGTGATGAAGTCAGAATCTGGCTGTGTATTCCTTTTGAATCTGACATCACTTCTGCAACTATGCACTCAGGACCACAAGAAAGCTCAGCTGAGATGCAGCAAGAGAAGGGGAAGACAAAGGACTTCACAAAAATTCATGAGGAATAAAGGCAATATGGGAATCAAAGATCAGTATCTTGGGAATTAAAATTAACCACCTCAGCTGATCTTCCTTTAGATGGGAAGAATCTGGTCATGTTCCGAATTCTGTGTGAAAAGTTAATTTTATCTTAAGTTTCCCATGCAATTGTATTTTTCACACAGAGTTTTTTAAAGATGGGTCTGTTAAGCTTTAATGGCCCCTGAAACGAATCTGGAAAGGTGAACACGTCCACATTGGACCACTTGAAAAAGCAGTTATTTGCTTGAAAATAACAGCAACAAAAATGTACTCAGCTATTAAAGGTTCTTCACAATTTACTCCAGCACGGAACTTACGACACAACATGGAATCAGGGTTTTAACAACCACCTCCCTCCCCCTCGAGTGCCATGTTTGTGTGCTGGAAGCAGGAGCTCTGCTCTTACCGGGACTTGTGAGGGCTCCCAGAGCACCAGTCGTTGTGGAGAGAGGGTTTGCATTGGTGGTGGTAGCTGAGGTCTGGGCGGCGGCTGCTGCGGCTGCTAAAGTTGCCAAATTCTGTAATTGTAAAGCGTTCATGCCTATGTGGAGAAGCAATAGGGTTAATTAAAACAGGCAATAATCATCACAGTCATAATCATAATCATCTAAAAGTGCTTTTTTCAATGGTCATGGAGCTTGGGGTGTACCTTGCTAATAAACTCGATTCTTTTCATTCCCAAGACATCTATAATCTCAAACCACCTCTTACAGTTCCTGAAAAGTATTTCTCATCTTTCTACCTTGGAGTTGAGAGAATGCACCAAAGACACCAGCCTATACTTCAGGAAAATTAAGCCTGGTTTGTGCCTCTTCTAAGGGAAGTGTAGAATTAAAAGTCATTTAAACTCTGCGTGAAGCCTAGGCACAATATTATTTCCTGAAACAATGGGGGATGTAAAGAAGATAACTAGAATTTAAAACACATTCAGGACAGGGTCATATAATTGGGATGAATAAAATTTGGTTCCCATGTCTCCTCTGAATATAACCACTAAGGTTATGCTGTGCAGCAGCCAATAATTTTGCTCAATTTCCCTTTGATGCTTCATTTCTAAAAACACAAATGAACTAAGTACATCAAATTAGTATCAGCCTGACCACAGAACCATCACTGAGACAGAGATTTTCAGCCTGTAAGCTCTGGACTATGATGCCAAGTCTACTGAGTCAATCATTTGCTTCATTATTTTAAAAGATGTGGGGGGAGATGCACCTTTATTTTAGTGAGAACCTTAAAGAAATTGAGGCATTTAAATTTAATTTAGATGGCAAGCAAAAGAGGAAAAAAAATAAAGAGAACTTTTGTGAAATGGAAAAATAAGATGATTAAGCAACAGCCAATGGTGTACACTTGCTTAAATCAGAGGGACAGGAGTTGATCTCTCCAAAGGAATTCAAAAGAAAACACCTTTTTCCTTGGACTAGATAAAGTACCTGGGCACTGACCCTAAGATGAAATACTTCAGTAAGAGCTAAAATGCAGATATAAGATGGGTGCTAGCATTAACTAGATTGGAACTTTCTCAGGATCCCCTGAGTAAGACCAACTATCCCCAGGAGCAATGTTCAGACTGGGCATTTACACAAGCACTGAGAGACATGGTTTGGATGGCAGTGAGAGATCTTCCTTTGGGTTTGGACATATGAAGGAGTTCTGTGAGGGCTTGAGCTCTCAACAGAGTTGACAAAGTGCAAAAACCCAAACGACTAAAAGAATTTTATTATGTTCTTGTAATCCTGATAATACAAGTACAGTCACAAAAGGTTAGGTAGGAAGAGCAATACCTTTTCCAGACCTAGTGATAGAGCTGGGAAGACTGCATGAGTATTGGGGAACACTCAAAGAAAAGTTGGAATGCCTACAAACTTGTGTGATTTTTTCTGAATGTTAGTTTGCCTAGAAGAGATATTACTTCTCCCTGCACACTTTATATCTCAAACAAGGGAGCTTAACCACAACTTGGAGAAAATGAAAAAAAGAGAGTTTAAATACAATACTTGGTAAGTATGTTTGAGAAGAAAAAAAATACAATGAAGGAGAGGTACTTTCTAGGAATTCAGAACTCTTGCAATAATGGAAACTAATATTACTTTCAAACACAGGTATTGCAGACTCAGGTTAGTACAATCAATAATCTCCATAAAGAGGAATTCTTACTATCACACCATTATGGACTGTGAAATGAACCTTGATGTAAGCATCTATTTGTGAATAAAGCCCCAAAATGAAATACAACATGTTCCAACAGCCAGGTCAGGCCTCAGGTGAGCTGAGGTTCTAAGTGGGTGTCTCAGTCAATGCCCAAATTCAGTTTAGATGTTAGTGTTTTTGAGAATGTGACACAATTGCAATGGGAAGAGTTGAGATTTTAGTTGATCCAAGATACGCCAATTCAGTCTGGAACTGGAACAAGACACTTTGAGAAATTACATGACCAAGAAAGCTCTTTAAGGTTTCTTTTGGAGGCTAAAGACCATCTTCAAAGAAAAGGCTTTTCTCAAACATTACTAATCCAAACTATTCTGCAAGATACAGTTCAGATAGAGATTCAGGTATGCAAACAACATGGTTTTATTTTTTTAAATTACTCATCTCACTTACTGGCTTGCCTTGGGTGTAAGTATTTTTTTCCCCACCAAAGAATTATCTTGCTTTGATAGTAAGACTGCAGACTATTTCAAACAAGATTTTGGGGATGGAAATGACTTAAGCTGGGACCCAAATCTTCGTGAACAAAGCAGTCAGTAACCCTCAAAATGAGATACGGAATTAATTTTCATCCTGGACTCATACTGGTCCTTAATTATGATTTACCTTCCTATTTCATAAGGAGAATAAGTAATTCAGCAAAGAATATCTAGCAAACATTGCTGATATTCACTGAGGCTGTATTTTCATGCCATTCTGTAACAAGGATTTGGGAAAGCAGTGGGTTGCTCTCCTCCAGAGGAATGGCTTTCCATCACCCACTGTTTAGTTATTCATCAAAAGGATCAGTCATAATTTCTTCTGTGTGAGGGTTTCTTTGGACTTTTAAATGGCATCCATGGTAGGATTAAAGAATTGTGATGAATACAGAATGGTTCTAGAGGACAGCCTAGGCCAGACCAGATCAACAGGCAGCAGGGTAAACAACTCCTCTTTCTGCACTCATGCACTTTTTGCACCACTGTGGATGCAAACCAAACACCATCATTGCCTCATTACACAAAAACTTTTTTTTTTTTTTTAAATAGTGGCACATTTTCTGTATAAGCACAGGAGGAACCCATCAACTTGGCAAATAAGTTTCAATGCTCAAAGAAGGTGAATTAAAAAGAGCTCGGTGGTGATGAAGTTCTCTCCCCACCCAATTTGTTTTACTGTAACAGTGACTGTAAGACACTGGCCACAAAATATCCTGCAGATGTTGTAGGATGTCAGCTTGGGTGTCTGCAGGACAAAAACCTGCTGGCTATTGTCACACCTGAGTAAGAGAAGGACAGCAAAGACCCCCACTGAACTGAGCCCCCAGATGTGAGTGTCAGCAAGGGCTCATGGCACACACTGTCACCCAGCGTGCTCCAGAGCCCGTTTTGTCAACAGATTTATCACTTAATATGCATCCTCTTTAAGATCCTCTGTCTGCTCAAACATCTGAAAAATAACTCCTGTCATCACTGTTTCACGTTCCCCAGGCTTTTTACCATCTCTGCTCCCTCATTATTGGTTTCTCCCATCAACTTGTCAGGAGTGTCAACATCCCACTTGCTTGGACAAACTTGGAGGAGGGAAACCAAATGCTTTGAAATCCCAGACCCCAAAAGTACTTCGCTTTCAAATAGGGATTTTTGGTTCAATTAAACCTCAGCGAAGGTACAGTTCTGCAGTTCTGTGGGATGAATCTGCTCTCTCATTCTCTCCCCTTTCACACACGCTCTTCACACATTTCACATCCTACAGTTTTTTTCAAAATAGTCCCAAATCCCACAACAGAGCTGGACAGCAAATGAGTAGATGGATTTTATTTGAAAATGCTGCTCACTCAGCAAATGCACCTCTCTCTGAAGAAATGCAAATAGCTTAACGCTGAGGAACAGCCTCATAGGCAGAGCTGCACATGAAAAATGAATATCCTCCTGTAGAGGAAAAAAAACCCTTCTGGGTAAGGAATAACTCTTGATCTTCATGATGGAGACAATGTTGGGAATTAAAGAGAAATGATTAAAAAACCCAGATTCACAATACAGTTTGATTCCATTTTTAATAACATGTATTTACCAATGTGCTATCAGCTTGGCAAATATTCAAGATCGCAAGGAAATTCAACTTTCATTTTGTTATTTGGCAGATTAAAAAAACAATTAAATTATGTACAAAACAGATGCACAGTATGCCTTGCTTGAAACTTAAGATTTAAAAAAAAAATTATTTATAAGGATAGGGGCATGAAAATTTAATTTAATGTTCACCTTAGGTAATTTTGTGTCTTATTGTTCACAGCAATTACCATAAATCTACATATCAATAAGCGAGAACAGATGTCAGTTGTTACAAGTGCTTGCCAATCAGGCCTGTTAAAAAGTGACAGATGGATGGTGATAGAACATTCTCATAAGGCCTATTAGCACATTCACAGGAAATTTTTGTAGTGCTGCACAGTCACAGATGCAGTTCTGTGAAAACACGGGGAAATTTGAGAGCACGAGATTTACATTTTACAACTTCTTGTGCTGCCTCTGACACAAACTTTCATACAATGAAGCAATTTGCCTCGTTTCAGTCACTGCAGCTTTTCTCCTGTGATAACTGCAAATTTGGAATTATTGGGTATTTGTAGAGGAGGGAACGGAGTCACAAGCCATTCCTGAATAGTTCTTAGGCCTCATCAGCTCTTGGGTTTCTAAAACCATAATAAAATCATATTAGAAAATAGCTGAGATTTGCTTACTGCACAAATTCCTAAAAAAGGAAGGCACCAGCTACATTTAGTGGCATGTATGCATGGAGAGTTTCAAAGTCAGTGGTGATTATCAGAACCAAATCTGATCGCTCATAAGCAGTTCCCACTGACTTGACTTCCTTTGCTTTGGAAATTTTATCCTTCTCAATTATTAGGATTTGTTCCATCTGAATTAAATCCTGGCTGCAGCTTAAAAAACGTGGATTAAGGTAAAATTTATCAACTCCAGGTTAAAAAGCAACTATTTGCTAACACTGACATCAGCCATTTTGGATGCTGATGGTAAAATGTGTATAAAGGTGTGGAGGGTGAGGCTATTCCAGTAATATTCTAAGAATGAAAATCAGGAGAGCTAAATGCCACCTCCATCAAACCACATATAGTCAGTGGCTACTTTTAGAAAAGCTGCTTATCTGAAAAGTGCTTGAGGTACCCTGACCAGTTTTTGTTTGATTGAGCAAAGCCCTTAAAACAACTTTTAAGTCCACAATTGAGTCTGCCCTGTATATTAAGAGTATGTGCTTAAAACTGACTGCAGGTTCACAGAATCATAGAATAGTTTGAGTTGGAAGGGACCTTAAAGATCACCTAATTCC